TAGGAGAAGGTATTATTTTGGGGTCACCTAAGCAGCACTGAGACAGAACTTCTTCCACGCAATCTTTGAGCAGAGGGTATGTGTGTGTGTTTGCTAGTCTGCCATTTTAGAACAGTGCAATCCTATGGGAGCTGTGGTTTTATCATGAGGGATCCAGTTCTCTGTGGCCTCTCCTCCCAGGCCAGTTGGGTGTTAAACTACCTTGTTTAAGGAGACCCTCTCGGGTTAACCACCTTCTTTCTTCCTGTCCCCACACCATCATAGGGCTTCTACAACGTCTGTTCACATGCTCTGTTTACTTTTGGATTCTAGTTCATCCTATTTTTTTCATTAAGCTACCTATTTTATCCTTCACTTCTAGCTCTTTTTAGAAGGATATTTTCAGTTTTTTCTCTTTTGTTACAGTGCTTGAAATAGAAGTCTTTCTCTAATAGTTTTTGTAGAATTTCTACTCACATTTCATATTTCAGTTCAAAAGTTACTTCCCAAGTGATTTGTTGCTTCCTCCCTATTATATGCTACCACAGTACTTTGTAATGAGTTTTTCACTTCTCATTATTCACAATTTGTAATTACACATTATTGTCCAATTCTGATAAATTTTTATCTCCCCCACAAATTATTTAGTTCCAACACTAGATGAAACATGTCTGTTTTGTTTATTCATGATGGTCACAAAATCCAGTACAGTTCCAGGCACAAAGCTTATATTCAGTAAATATTTGATAAATGAATGAATATGAAGAACCTGGAGGAAGATCATAAAAAATTAATACATGTCCCTCAAGTGTTGGAATGTAGGCTCTGTAATATAAGATGAAGAAAACTGGAGCTAATTTTAAGATAAAGAAAAGTGCCAAAAAGAAAGGCAATAGCCCTCTGAAGGTGTCGCAGAAATACAGGGAAGAGCACTGCATTTAGTGGTTTGCTCCACACTTTACCAGGCAATTTCAGAAATGTTGCTCATCCTCTATTGTTTTTTAAATGACAGATAATAATGCTCACTTGGTAAGGTTGCCATGAGAACAAGCAAAATAAAGAATATAAAATGGGACCTAAATCATATTCTGGATTTACAAATAACAATAGCCCTTCTACACCTGGGAACCTTTGAAAGAGAATTTACTTAGATGAAAAAAATTACACTCCTAAGAAATCCATCCTGAGTATAAGGATGTGCAAGAATGGGCTAGTGAGCTTTGGGATGATTTTTGCTTCTGCTGGAGACCTGCTTGCAGGGGAAGGGGAGCACTGTGGCTCATGTGCAGTGGGTTTGGGTCAACTGGTCTTGGCATGAGGGGGATGGCTTAGGTGACCATTTAACTCCTTCTTGCCTATGAGTCTTGATTAATTGCACATATCCAGAAAGAACAGAAAGATTTCTTATCCGCTGAACTGACTAAAGCGCTTTTTCTACATTTCAAAGTGTTAGTCATTAGCAGGTATTTAAATCACTTCTCACACTCTCACATTAGCACTAATATGCTCAAAGTTACATTTTCTTAATGAGGCATCTTGATAATGAAGTGCTTCACCTGTGATCCTGAGAAGAAAAATCAGCCTTCCAGCCATATGGGGACAGCTGAGTCACCACTAACTGATCCCTTTGAACATGAACTTCCTTACAGAGGGAGCATGCAGGACTCCTCCCAACTGCAAATTGAGGGGCAAAAGGAGGGAGAGAGAACCTTTTAAAAAAACTGTTTAAATTAACATTTTAATATCTCTTCCCATGGTAAATTCTGTCCCAAAGTCCCTAACATCAATTCAGTCAATAACTGAAAAGAGGTACGATTTCCCAGTGATATTAAACCTCATCTTATGAGAGGTCTGTTCAGAGAGCTGACTTCACGCATGCACAGAACAGAAGGCTCCTGACATCATGTGATTTTAAAAGACATCAGAAACTATGTCAGCCTATCTGCAACATTTCATCATTGCAGTTGATTCTTACTTTGAAAATGCAAATACAAGTATCTTTAACACAGATGCTCCTGGACTTAGGATGGGGTTATGTCTCAATGAACCTACTGTAAATAAAAAATATCATAGGTCAAAAATGCATTTAATACACCTAACATACCAAACATTATAGTTTCACCTACTTGAGGTTAAACATGCTCAAATCACTTACATTAGCCTACAGTTGGGCAAAAGCATCTCCCTGCCGCTACCCAACATCACAAGAGACTATCTTACCACATATCACTAGCCTGGGGAAAGGTCAAATTCAAAATTCAAAGTATGATTTCTACTGAATGCATCACTTGCACTCCATTGTAAGGTTGAAAATCATTAAGTGAAACCATTGTAAGCCAGGGGCTGTATGTACATTCAATTGTCTGCACTGCAACCACATGTGTGTAAAATAGGTTGCATATTCTAGGAGGCCCATGAGGAGATTAAATAATCCTGAAATATTTTGCATCATTATGGTGACCTCCTTGAATCCACTCCGTCCCTTCCCCATTAGATAACAGCCAGTCAAAAGCTGTTTTAGATATGCCTTATTGCCCTAAGCTAACAGTATTATTTGTTCTCTCTTTAAACCATGTTGGGTTTAAAACACAGTAAGAGCACAGTACTCCTCAGGTCAAAGTCATTACTTGAGATTTATTTCAGGCTTTACATTTACACAGAACATTATTTGAAAAAAAGAGAGGAACTTCTTCCTCTGAAGAGGAAGTGACTGAACAATAGTACTACTGAAGCCATTTTGTGTCCATGAGGGAAGCCAGAGTGAGGACCAAGACGACAGACACAGGAGCATGGAATCACAGATAATACAGTTTGTGTTCACCACACCTGAAGCCTGAATTCCTAGTTTCATGAGCCAATATGGCTGTTACCTTAAAATATAAAAAGCCATTGAGTCGAGTAGACTTGCTTGTCTGCCCATCTAAAAAGACAGAACTTGCTTTTTAATGATTGGTTATTAATGAATAATGATTCTATTCTCTCTGAGTTTTCTAAGGCTGACATAACTTTCTTCCTATAGTGGTGGTAAAGGATCCTGGGGAGGAAATAGGAGGAATTTCATAAAAGAAGAGATAAGAAGGGCCGGCCATTCTAAGGAGTGAATAAATGTTCTCTGGGTAGGTCAGGGCAAGGGGCAAGTGTTCTAAAAAATTAAAGAATATATATTTAAAAAATAATGTCAACAATACACCTCAATAAATCTAAAGTAGGTTTTCTGTTAAGTCCCAAACTCAAAACAGTTTTCCAAATTGAATTGATTCGAGTTCATGAAAAAGTCTTTCTTCATGAACAAAGAAAAGATTACACACAAGTGTTCCACTGAGAACAGTGCATGTGAAATGTGTGTCCAGATAAGAGATAATTGCACGTGTAATATCCATAAGGGCAAGAACCAAGATGCTTTTGGTGAGGATGGAGAAGTTTCTGAAGCATGCACTTCAGGATTTGGCGATAGCGAACACATTATGTGTTATATTGAATTACGCCAGATTTATTTGATGTGACCTCAACTTGACAAACTCAGTGACATTTTAAATTTAATCCTCTCTCTAAAGTTTAAACAGGCCTTGATAGGTAAAACGCCAAATTTATCATCAGCATTTTTTGTGGCCCAGGTATCACCTGGGCCTAGCAGAACAGCTCCTTTACCTTTGAATTTTTTTAATTTCCTCCTATAAAATCTTGTATTTATTTTCTGGGGCAAGGCTGGGGACCAGACACCATCTTGTTTTCTCATTTTCCAACTTTTATCAGTCTGTTCCCTTAGAGTCAACCTATAGCTCCTCCTTCTTGTCAGCATGTGAACCCATTTCTTCATATAAATTAGCCCATGCAAATACACAGCTAACCTCATTCATCCAATTGCTTCTTTAGCTTAGCTAGGATGTCCTGTAGCATATTTAATATAATTGAGGAAGTAGACTTTAGCCTTCGTCTAGCAGAAATGCATTAATATATTAGAGACAAGAACATAGTACAATGATGTGTAGAATAATACAATATACTTAAATTTTCATTAAGCAGTAGATCTGAGTACCCATGTGATAAAGCAGGTAGGAACATCGCCTGCAGCTGTGTTCTGGTGGACGTACCCCGGTGGACGTACTCCCGGTTACATCCTCCTGACCAGCACTTATTTTATTGCACAGAAGCACCACATAAATGAATCCTGGAGACTATAATTTAAAGACAGCCAACATTGTAAACACAGCCTCTGGAGGGACATGTAATTGATGCGGTCTTGCTTTGTTAGATGTGTGCTAAAATAACATATTTCACGTGAATTGCTGAGACTGAGGCCACCTGAATCACTAATGCTTTTAAAAGAGGTTTGCATAGAATTCACTTAAATGCAACAGATTCCTTGCCATTCATTTGTAATTTAACAACATAAATGTAACCTTTAAGTTGGTCTCAATCATTCTGTATTGAGAGATAAAGGCTTATTAGTTAACAGACCCATCATTGAGAGACATTTCAAAATGTAAAGCTATTGCCTTCTCTGAAGTGAAAGCATGAGATAAATTACACATTAAAAGAGGGAAACTGATAACTTCTAAAAGAGCTTCACCTTGTCTTAAGAAGAGACTTGTGTCAGTCTCCCCATGTTGGGGTTTAACAAGAGAGACAAGAGTTTTCCTCTTAAGGAAATCTAGGCTGCCAATCTAGGAAGCACAATTGTCAAGTGGAACAGGTGCATTTTCTGATAGTTTCTTATCTAGTAAATGACACACTGGGATTAATATCAGATTTCCATAATATCAATATCTCACACTTAAACAATAACACTTCATATTAGAAAAATAATTCAAAATTGGCCCTGCCTAATAATTGTGCCAGAAGTATCATCATTATTGGCCATAATAATAATAATGCATTGAGAATGCTCCATTCATTCATTTGTTCCACAGTCTTTCATGTACTGTTCATTCATACTTTTAGTCATTGTCATTCATGATATGAAAAAATATACTCAAAATAATCTGTGGACTCATTCTTTTTGGAATCATTTATTGGTTTAAATATTTTATGTGACAATTTAGATTTATACAGTAAATAAATGCATGACTTAAACAGATAGTTTTGTAATGAATTATGTAAATATAACACACTACTATCATTTCTACTTTGTTTTATAAGAAACCCAGGTTTTCATCACTTATTTTTCATATACAAATTTACCTTGTTCCGCAGTGTGAAATACAAAGACATTTTGCATAATGAAACACGCTATTTACATTGTGCACAATTTAACATAATTATGAGTAAACATAATCAAATAAATAAAAAGTGGTATAACATGAAAAGCAAAAAGATACAGTAGATGTTTATAATCCTATAAGTGCTTGCATACTTTTACATTTACTAGTATTCTTAAAATTCTAGTGAAATGAGACATGTTTTGTCATTTCTCTAAACCTGTATTACTGAATAAAGAAAACTATTTTAAAATATAATATGAAACATTAAATGAAACTGTTTTTTAAATTAATGGTACAGGCTTAGAAGATGCATTCATCCTTTAAAAAATGAAAAATAGCTTGACATTTCAAAATATGTGTAATTTAACCATGCCCTACAGATTTATTAGTATATATTACCTGGTATTATTTGATGACATTGTAATATAAGTTTATGATAACTAGATTTTTAAAAGAAATGATTCACAAAGTATAATCTGATAGCAAAATAGCAGATATACAATATTATTTACATTGCAGACCAAACCAAAAATTTAGACCTGTGAAATTACAGCTAATGAATTGGACAAAACATTAAAATAATCATGTGTCTGGTTAAGTGAAACCTACCCCATGCAGAGGAAGTGAAAGAAGGCCCAGCATATTGTAACTATGTATTTTTACTAAGTGGGTTGAGAATCCTATTTATTATTATATACGCTTGAATGTTTGATGGAGATGCATTGGCTGTTTATCATACGCACTGAAATGAGCAGGCATTTTTTTTTAATCTAAAGTACTGTTTGGGATATGATACCCTTTGGTTTTGTAAAATGGCTACTCACAGCTGAAAAATCAGAAGTCAGGTAGGTTGATTTTGAAATAAAGAATGATATGTATCATTTCTGGAATATACTTATTTGGTACATTTTAAGCATAATCAGACAGTTTTGTCACTTGATTAACAATGTTATAACGTAGTTACAGGCAGCTGTTATAAAACTTGAGTGTTTCCAAGGCAAAATTCTCAGGAAGATTTTTTTTTAATAAGGAAAAATCTGGTCATTCAACTCTGAAAAACCATTAACCACTTTTTTCTATTTGAACCAAACCTGACTTCCTTAGTAAGCATAACCAAACATGATGATGTGATTCAATTTCCACATAGAGTAATTTTTGCCCATCTACAGATTCTTAAAGGAGACAACAATTAGTAGCTCACCAAACTAGGCCTTACGTATCAATTCAGCAGGAGACAACAGGATAGAGGGAAAATGGGACTGTGGGTCCCAGCTGGGCAAATTTCATCTCAATTTCTTCTGTTTTTCCTCAACTACATTTTCTCTATTTTTACATTCATTATTAAAAAATGTTTCCCTCAAGAAATAAGAAATGATAAAGTTATTAAGGGTCCTATTTCTTAATTTGAATAAGTATTATGATTGTCTATCATTTCAAGACAAATGCTTTCTTACGACTGAAAATCACAGGAAGAAATTAATTGGTAGTTTCATAACTGTCAATGTATATGGTAGCTGCCTGTTTTTCTCACAGTTTCAAAATAATTTGATCAGTGTAAAATACATAATTGATTAACACAGAAATTCTTCCTTTTAGAATTGTTTAATTTTCCAAAGTTCTCATATCCCTATCTTTGTTTGACTGTCTGATGCAATAGAGTAGAGGAACCCTGAGGCGTGTGACAAAGAAGTCCAGATGAGAATAAGACCCAAAAGTCAAAGGCATTTGATGTAGTGAAGCGTATCTTTCCAGAGAGAAAAAAGCTGTATCATTTTTATATATTTTCCATTACCGAACACAAACAACATCATGGAGACAATATGTGAAGTAGTTTGAATGTAATACTAGTACACTAACACAAGCAAAACATAAATAAGATAAAATATTTAGTTTTAGAAATTAAAGATTCTTTAAATCTTGTTGAAGTACTGTTAAAATTATTGTAGTGTTGAGGGTACCTAAAATTCAAGCACATACTCTTCTGTCTTCCTCACTCTTATTTTTTCAATAAGATATTTTACTTTTGTTCCTTATGAATAAAAATGTCTGCTATAAATAATTGAAATTTCCCTGCAAAAAATGGCTTTGAATTGAGATTCATAAATGATTGATCCCTTGATGTATCATAAAATGACCCAACCTGTCTTTTTGTACTTAAGAACTTGGCAATTTGTTAATTCTGGCAAATAAATAAAAGTTATGGTTATAAATAGCTATTTGAATATATGTCAAAATCTCAAAGACATGGAGCTAACAATTATGAAGTACATTGTATGTTGCTTTTTCAATAGAGTAGCCTTATAACATTGATGGCAAATGTTTTCAGACCCTCACAAAAGAATTCAAAATGCCATACTGTGTGAAACCAAGTTACAGAGGGCTGTACAGGAAGCAAGACCCGTTATTGGTCACTTCTGGGTAAAGAGATAGTAAAAGTATGTTGTATTTGGTATATTCACCTTATTGGAAAGTAGTTTATAGGAAACAATTTCCCTACAAATAGGAGATACGGAGATACTTTTTTCTGTTTCAATCTTTAGCAGCGTGATACCCAAGTAAAATTTTACTATTTAAAAATCAAATAATTTTTCTAAATTAAGATGTTTGTAGGGGAAAAATATGAGGTTGTCCTAAAAGGTTTGTCCTAATACCTCTTAAGAAAATGTTTAAATTCAGCTAAAAGAAACAACATATATATTTTTAGAGCCATATTTCTCTTAACATATGAAGTCTCTGGAAGCCCAGGTCTCAATTTTCTCATTGGGTTAGATCAATTTCTAACCCAAATGATCTATATCTAATGTCCACCCTTGTTTCCTTACTCACTAGCCCACAGTGTTCAACCATGTAACATTGAAATGGGGGGGCACCAAAATAATATTCAGTTTTTACATCCTCATAAGAGAGCAACAAAAAGAGAAAAAAGAGAGAAAGGAGGAATGTGAGGAGGAGGAAAGGAGGCAAGAAGAGAAAGTAGGAAGGGAAAAAGGGAGGAGAGAGAAGGAAAAGATAGAATAAAAGACAGAGAGAGAGGCTGAGAATACTGAGAAACTTTAAGAACCTAATTAGTTTACTTCGCAGAATACCTTTACATATAGTCCACTCATGTTACATTCACCAGCAGTCTCATTAAGAAATAATATTAAATTCTGTTGATATTGAGCCACACTCAATATTTAGACTCTTGCATGGGTTCTCGTTATCATAAAGAATACACTAATATTTAATTAGATCATACAGCCAGTATTGATTAAAGACATAATACCAAGTTTTCCCAACAGAAAACGTCTATACTGGTGGGTATACATAATGGAAGAAGTTATTTTAGTCCCTTTTAATAGTTTCACTCTTATTAGCATACTTAAGTTTCTCTTTTATCAAAGTTTGACATGCTGAATTTTGTATTCTGTTAACTATGATACTGTGTTTAATATCTATGTAGTTGGTCCTTGAACAATGTGAGAAATTAGTGCCACCAACCCCCATGAAGTTGAAAATCCATGTATAACTGTGACTCCCCCAAAACTCAGTTGTCCCTGGATATTTGAGCGGGATTCATTCTAGAACCCTGGCAGATACCCAAATCCATGGATGTCCAAGTCCCGTATATGAAATGGCATGGGACATTGAGTGCAGTGGGTCTTCTGCATCCACGGATTCCCAGCCACAGATTGAAGTTACTGTTTTCTATCTGCAGTTGCTTGAATCCATGAATGCAAAATCTGGAGATTAAAGGGCCACTTGTGTATTTGTTGGAAAAATGCATGTGTAAGTGGACCTGCACAGTTCAAACCTGTATTGTTCAAGGGTCAACTGTAATCAGTTAGCCTCACCATCTATTTTTAGCTTTTTCATTCCAGGTTAGCGGTGTTGGGCTATAGACATTATTTAAATATATGCAAAACTTGATTTTTCTATCTTTTTTTCTATTCCATATTGGTGTCCTTTCTTAATTTTTTTTGCAGTCCAGCTGAATCCAGCTAAAGTACTTCAAATATACTCATAAGATGGGATACTTTCCATAGACAGGTACTCATTTGCATTTTAGTAGGAGAATTCTTTCAGAAAGGATAAAAAAGTATTTTTAAGGATCAAAAGAAAGGGCAATGAGTACCTATTATTAAGTTGAGTTACCTAATAAATGAAAAGAATGGACTTTTAGCCCTGGCTGGTGTAGCTCAGTGGATTGATCTCAGGCTTCGCACCAAAGGACTGCCAGTTTGATTCCCAGGCTGGGCACATGCCTGGGTTGCAGGCCAGTTCCCAGTGGGGGCCACGTGAGAGGCAACCACAGATTGATGTTTCTCACTCTCTCTTTCTCCCTCCCTCTACTCTCTCTAAATGAATAAATAAAATCTTTTAAAAAAAGAAAAAGAAAAGAATGGATTTTGTAAGTGCTTGGTGATACACTTGAAACAAATTTTAAAAACAGGAATAATAATTTTGGCTGCTATCCACTAGTAATTATCTTTTCACAACAAGACCAAAAATCAAAAATCAAAAAACTTCCCTGAATTACTGTAGATAATTATACAGTCATCTAGGTTACCTTATCCTTCTTGGCTAAAATGAGATCTACTATAAGAATTAGTTTTTTCTTCTTGACAATAATTTCTAGTCAAATAATACAAAATCAATTTATTTAAGATTCCAAGCCAAAGTTGGATTTTTATTTCAACATGATGATTTATACCAATAAGATTTAAAGGGAGGTTTCATAATGTTTTGCTTCGCTTTAACTAGGATGCTTTGAACCAAAAGAGCTATAAAAAAGGAGGACTTTTAAGTGATTATACACAAATATAATGATACAGATCACCCATCTAAATAGAAACCCATACTCTCTTATTAGGCTTGAAAGTTAGTTATATTAGCCATAGAGGAAAGCTTGTTGGGAGGCAACAATGGAATTGTTTTTAGGATTTGAGGTTTCATTGGGTATGAAAACACATAGTTTCTTGTTAGAGGTCATGTGCTGTTCAAATGATTTTAACCGAAAGTAGCTTTGACTCAGATTTTATTTTGAGAAGCTTGAGAGGTTTTGCCCTATATGCAAATTTGAACGTCTAAATACAGTATTCTTTGACTGTTATCCTTAACCCTTATATTATTAAAAATAGTTTATTATTTTAGGTAAATTATGTTACCAAATTTGCAAACCATGGCTCAATGCCACAATTTGTAAGTTTGTCTTATTTATGATATTGTCTACATCTTTATTTTCTTCCAGAATAAAGAACATGGAGAAAAAAATAATTAAAATATAATTTATAATTATATGTTATCTCTGGGGGATAAAACCTTAACACATATTACATCAACAAAATTGTCTTTATGTTGTAAAATATGATACATTTAGAAAACATTCAGAAGGCTCTAGCATTCTCACTGTTGGATATAAGTAAGCTGACTTTTCTGAAACAGAATATCTTTATCCTAAATTATTTTTCTAACTGATTATTCTGATTAAAAATTGTTCAGGTGTATTTACTCCTTTTAAAATTTCTGTTCTAATCAAACTCTGCTTGAATTAACCGATTGTGTGTAAGTGAAACATCTTTGGATGATAATAAGAAGTTACCTAAGGACTTTTAATACTGGCAGACACAGTCATCTTCATCTCTCCCACTGCACACCATCAAATGCTATGGGGTGACTCTCTCCCAAGCTCCAACTCCCTGAATGAGATGGATGGATGGTCACATCAGAAAGGCTTCTACCTACTCTAAAATTGAGCACATGTTTTGCTAGCACCCAAGACTTCATTTCAGAGCAGTGTGAAAAAGAACATAGAATATAGTATAGGCCCCGGGATGATTTTAGGACATAGAATAAATATTTCTCATTCTTTGTGATTAAGTTTTAAAACTAGGGAAGGAAAGTTTTCATAATGTCAGAATTTTTAAAAAAGGATGTATAAAATCGAATTGTATTTTTCCCACTGAATGTTAGCTCAGCCAGGAATGCTATAAAAGGCAGGGAGGAGGGGAGTTTTATTTTCCTATCAATTGCACACTGATAGTCTGTTCTTTTGTGCTAATTTTGACAGCTTTTCCGTGACATCTGGCAGAGCTGGTATCTGGCCCTCTTCGTTCCTTCGGTCTAGATGTTCTGACACTTCACCATCGTCAGTGTAACCAAGCCTAGTCCTGCCTTCACAGGGTTTCTGTACACAGCAGCTCTGGGAGTTTGGAATCCCGGCTTCACTGATCTGTGCAGCTGCTGATCAGAGAGCCTGACACCACCCCCTAAGAACATTGAAAAGGGCTTCAAAAGGATCCTCTCTCCTCTTGTTAAAATAAGAATGACCACCAGTTAAAAAAGTCATCTGACCCTCATTAAACCACATCTCTATTATGTAAACTGCGTCTCCTTTCAGAGTATCTATACTGTCATGAAAAAAACAAGTAGATCTCTTTGTTCCATCTCACCTAAGGCCCCCACCCATGTCACTGCTCCATCTGTTTCTGTGTCCTGAGGCTGATGTATAATTAACTTCCAGACAGCATAAAAGGAGAAACAGTCTTTAAAAAGTGAGGTGATGTGAGAAGCAATTTTGTACATTTCTGATTTTTACCTCAATTAGTACATTACTGCCCTACTTACATTTAATTACATTTAGTAGACCGCATTAAAAATATATTTAGTAGAATCCCTTCTTTATCTACAAATAGTGAAAAGGCCACAGAGGAAGTCTGAATATAAACCAATTACTTTATTTTTAAAATATGCATTAAAAGAATCAGAAACAAGCAATTACTTAGGCTTGCCATTTAGTTTTGCTTCTGTCTTCTGCTTTCAGATATTAAGGAACAATACTTAAGTCTAATAATATAAAGGATGATCTTTCCAACTAGATGAATTAACTGAGAAGATAAATTCACTGTAATTTAATAGTTTCAAGCTATTTTCATTATTATAATAATCAAAAGCATGTTTATTAAGGGTTAAGCATTGAATGATATACAAAGATAGCTGTCAAAACTTTCTCAGTGAATCAACAATCCTATTTGATTTATACAGGGAAATTTTCTCAGCTGTGGGCAGGATAATGCTAATTTAAGTTTTGCCACAGGTAATGGGAACTTAAAATACTAGCAAACCCACTCTCCATTCCAGCTATATTCAGATTCATGATTAGAAAAGAGTTTACCCAGCTAGGCAATAATAGGAGCTATAATCTTATTTACAGGCTTAAGAATAGATTTAAGCTCATAGGATTTGCTAGATAATAATCTGTTCCTTAGAAGATCCTTAATGTAACATAAGTTCATGAGTTGCTTTTAGCTGTAATCCTAATACATTATTCTAAATTATGGAAGGGTAATTTAACTATCAAAAGACTGAATATTATTCACTATGCCACATTTGATTAAAATTATATTTTAAGAAGTAAAACTATATAAATTATTCTCTTTGAAATCTGCAAGCTCTGGTACTATTATCAAAATAGCTAAGAGGAGCAGATTATGTTCAATATGACTACAAAATCATTTTCAGATGTTTCTTAATTACACTACATACGATTTTCAACCATATTCTGAAAACAAAATACTATTACACTTACTAAACACTTGTCTTCATAGAAAACAGTGGTAATAAGCTTCTTTTATCTCTAATCTTTCATCTTCTAAAACCTTATCAAAGCTACAGTTGCATTAATTGTCCTAAGACCCATCTGTATTTTCGTAAAGCCTACATTCTCAGTCAACTCATCCAACATGTGTTCTGCTTCTTCTCAAATATCAGTCCTTAACTGCTCCTTAGTATCATATACTGTGAAGATCTGAAAATTTGGGCAACATTACATACATATGCATTTCTTTAGAGAAATATTATCATAGGTATTTTGAAAATTATACAACAGAAATAATTTGATAGTATATTAATTGCCTTAAAGCATGTGTACAATTGAAAGACTTCTGAGAGAACAGATTAAGTATGTCATTTTCTCAATTGATTTTTATCTGAGTTATCACTTGCTCCTCATTTTACTGTAGTAAAATGGTGAATATTCTTTCAAAGTTCACAGCAGATTATTGCTTATATAGAACATGTCTCTATTTCCCTAAAAGCTCTATGACATGCACAAAAGTGCAAGGTTCAGATGGTAACACCATCATGGCTTAAATTATTGCTTAAAAGGTTGTTGCAAGGTATTGCTAGGGAATCCTTTTTAGATGAATGTACAGTTTGACGTCAAAAGTACAGAGTGAGACTAAATATTAAGCTGATTTTTATAACATGAACATTAAAGCATTCGGAATAAGGCTATCACTTGACATTTGCTTCTTTGTACAAAAGTTCATAGCTGATATCTTGATGATGAGGATCAATGAATATTGTGATGTACTACTGCACACTCCAGGCAGTAACTAACAAAACAGGACCATGTCCAGTATGCCTACTAGCCCTACAGTGAGCCATATTCATCAGCGTTGATTTCTATCTCTAATAATTTTGAAGACTCAGATTCAAAAAGTAGACAATAAATTTGAAACCAAAGCTAAAATTAAAACTTGTGAAAAAATAATGCCATGAAGCTTGGAATATTTAGCTTTCAAAATAACTACAAATAAAATAATATATTGCTGTCTTAGTCAACTTGTATTTATTCCTAGTAATTGAGATTATTTTAATACTTTTTGATGATCTCCAAATCTGGCTATATATTAGCATTACCTAGAGTGATTTTCTAACTATGATTACTGTGTCATACTTGAGACCTACTGAATCCAAATCTCTGAAGGTAAAGCCTAGCAATTTGTATTCCTAAAACCTTCCTTGGTAATTTGTTTGAAACCAGACAGATACTGCCAAGTTGATGAGTTGAACCATTGAACAGTATTATCTCTTAACACAAATGGGATGGCAATGAGATACTTGACTGATCAGTCACAACATACTAGAAATAAAGACACTAACTTAACTTTCCTACATCTCAATTCCTCCCAGAATGCCACTCCTTTTAACCTTGAAGTAGTTATGTTCAACACACACACACAAGAATATTCATTACTTTAAAAAACAAACTATTTTACAACATGAGATTGACTGTGATTCTGTCTATGTTATAAATATAGCAATGACTTCTTTCAATGAAAGAAAGAAGGAGGAAAGAAGAGACAAAGGAGGAAAAGAAACAATAAAAGTGGTAGGACAATACTGAGGTTTCAATTGTTTGAATCAAGCGTGAGGAAAGAATTTTGCACACTATTTTAATATATCCTGACAAGATGTATGTTAATCTGTAGATAGTATCAGTGTCTGTTCTTCAGCCCCCACCACAAGGATCTTGAAATTGAGTCCACAGCTGGGATCAATTTACACATTTAACAATAAAATTTGTTCATTTTAACATAATTTATGTGTATGTTAAATCAGCTGGCTGTGAATTAAGTATATTGACATCAGAAAATGCATATTCATATCAGAGCTACCCATAAGAATCACTCAGAAGGGAATATGTTAAACTTTAATAAGTCAGCCTCTCATGTGTCATGGTTTTCAGGCTGTATCTCATAACACATGTTCATAGAAGCCTCTGAAATGACAGTTTTTATAGTTCAAGATCTGTAATCTCATCATAGAAGTACCCAGGTTATAACATGAGACTTGGTTGTTGGTCTCGACCATATAGGTATTGTATTGTTGGCTGAACAGCATCTGGTGCCACCCACAGCCTATGTAAAGTCATGTATAATTTATTCAAAGGAATGTTCAATGAAGTTATATCAGATGCTTGGAGTCAGATTGTATTTTGAAGAAAAAGCAGAGAGGAGCTTTGATCTCAACAGTGCCCCAGCACAACTGGGATGGTTAGTTCGCTTCAGAAGTGCGCTGTTGTTTGGGCCTGAAGTGTGAATCTTTCTACCAGCCTGAAACAGGCCTCAGAAACTCTTTCGGTGCCCATGTGAGGTTCAGAGGTACAGAGGACAGTGTTTCACGGGGGCTGGGCTTGAGTGGGCAGGATGGTTTCCAGTGGCAGCATGGAGTAAGAGAGGGTCTGGGTATGGGCTAAGCAGTGCTCAAAATGCACAACAAGATACCCATTGTAGAAGTTTTACTCTCCACCCTGATAATCCACAACACCTGCCCTCAACCCAGAGAGCCTTCCTGAAATATATTTAATGATGGTCACAATCTTGTGCTCCCTCTTCATACCTCACAATCCCAAACACATTATTTGAACTGGTAGCAATATGATTCTGTATAAAACAGAGTCTGGTGGTTCTCCAATTCCTCTGTAGCTTTGCCTTTTGTACCTATCAATTTAGTTTTGCTTTATTGCTGGAGCTCTTTGGAGGAATTTGTAGAATTAAAAGCTTTGCTGCACTTGTAAATTAGTACTTTAGTTTAGGTGGTTGTCCTGTTCTGCTCTGTTTTTCTAGGAGAAGCACACACTTTTACATTTTCATAATAAAACACTGTGGTCTCAATACCATTGTCACCAGACAAGCAGAACAACAGTGAGACTATGAGAGGCCACAAGGAAGTATTGGGTCCACAGACCTCTCTCCAGTCTCAGCCACCAGTGTCTGTCTCAGCAGGTCATCACTCACTGACAGCCATGTAGTCAGGGGTTAAAAACTAAACCCCAAATAATTTAAAACATAAGAGAAGAAATTAATATCAGGGAAGATTTTAAACATTTGGATCCTTCTCCACACCACATTACACAGCATTTCTCTAGGCATCAAGTATTATTTTTTAATTATGGCTGGCATTACCTATTAAGGTTCACAAAGCACATACTGTGCAGTACGTGTTGGGTACACATGGGGGGTTCTGACTTTGTTAGATAACTGACTTATTTCCAGATGATGACCTCGTCTCCATCACAATCATGCTGATGCCACTGAAAAGCTGTGGTCTTGATAGCTCGTGATAAAGTGACTTCTTCTGATCTTTTGCTTGAAAGAACACTAAAACAAGAGCTACAAGTGCCAAGTTATATTTAAAGTATCCCTTGTAGAGTGTGTTAAAGCCATTTCCCTAATTTAATACCACTTGATTTCAATGGTGCATCCATTTAAATTCCTTTTAATCTGCCTGGCTAAAGTGAATGATGGGTGTAGTGGTTTGTAGGTGAGAAGACTGTGTAGATGTTAGTCAGATGAAACAACAACTACCACCCCTTGTTATAGCCACAATTGCTAATGGAAATATGGAAGACAAAAATATGATGCTTTTTCACAGCTTCTAAATTCTATGACTACAACTAGAGTGAACAGCCATTTAAAACTATACCTTGCAAACATATATAGCAACAGTGTAACTATAATAATTAATTGTACTAAATTGGCAAAATGCTAACAGATTGAACCATTGTCTCAGGCTATAGCTTTAAAGATACATGTAGATTATATTGCATGAAAAATGTAGTTTATATCATGTCTGTGATATTTAACAGGTCTCTGGCATATTCTTCATTGTGACATTTATGAAAATGTAAATGCTACTTCTTCTCTAAGTAAAATCATATAAACTAAGAAAGAGTTTGTTATTCTTCTGACATACTTAATGCATATACAATTCTTGTTTTGGGCCCTATTACCATGCCAGATAATAAAGTGAATTTCCAGTGATGCTTTTAGAATATGCTCCCATAGGTGATCATAAGTATAGAGAGAATAACTATATGTTTAGAATAGTCACCTAAACAGATCTTTACAAGAAGCAGAGAAACAGATTGGATGATTCCTGGAAGTGCCTTTCAGCCTTATGGTTATACATTATACATTGATTACTGCCAAAACATTTATTGATTCACCATATCATAATAAACTCGTAGCTACTGTGCAGAATAAGCATAAATGACTTCAGTGAGCTGGGTTCTTCCCCATGCTCCTACACTATAAGGAGACCACCAACATAGCTGGGGGTTCCCTGTTCTCGGCATGAGGGCTGTACCACTTGCCCCTGTTCCCTATGAAGGAAGTGCATTAATCTCCAAGTGCCCTGAAGAGTTCTTTTGTGAGTGATTACTCCCATGAGAGCACCTTGTCCTCAGCCTACACAGCCTCTCATAAACCCCCTGGCCATCTTACCCCAGGGGGTTAAAAACAGAGACCTAGACTCAGAGAAGAGAGAGAGACAGGCAAGGATTCAGAGTTCCATGTCTAGGTCCCGTCCCACATGAAGAGTGTTACCCTGGAGTCCTCATAAGCCCCTGGGCTAGATGGAGTTCAACAGTTATTAAAGTGATCACCATTGTAACAGATACTTTGCATGCCTGTTGATGTTTTCTAGTTACACACTTGGAGAACTTAAAAACACTAATTCAGCCTCATGACGACCCTGACAGTAGTTAATATGCTCTTTAGCTGAGTTATATCATAACAAAATCATAATGCAGCCAAAATCTCTGACCAGAAGAAATATATTCTATTCAATAGACATAAGCTACTAATGAGTGTACCTACTAGAATAAGAAAATGGATACCCTAAGATTTTAAGGAAACAAATGTTTCCTGCTCATTAGCCTTAATAGAAACTTGGGTTTTACATCTGATTCAAAATAGCAAATCCCTGGACACACTGTGCTCCAAATTTCAGGGTGTATCTGTAATAATTTTTCATGCAGTGCTAATTATTGGGAACTGGCCTTCATTTTAGCAGAACATGAGATGGAAGCCTACCTGTAACTATGGTGATTACTAAGTGTAAGGGTTAGACTCACTCCAGTGGTCTGGAGGTGATTCACTGAATTTAAAAGGTAAATCAATCAAACTGAAAAAACAGTTTTTTAAACTGAAAGCCATAAAATACGGGGTTTATTTCCTTGCTTTTTATTATGCAAGAAGAAAACACATTGTTGGCAAAATTCCCTGTACCTTTCTCACTGCTGCCAGTATCAAGGAATTTGCTCCCAAAAGCAGCCTTAAGAGTCACCCGCCATGAAGGGGGTGGGGAAGTATGCCATGTCACTTAGTAGGCTACCCTTCATTAGAATGCAGTTTAGTACATTGTAATAACTACCTGTATTTGTAAGTGCTAAGTTGAAAAGTGCCCGGTGTAAAGAGCATTTTGTTTTGACTGGTATTTGCTGGAAGATGGCAGAAAGACCTTTCTTCAATCTTGGTTATAGATAAATCCTCTATTAGGAAATTCCATTAACTCTGGGTTACATGCTACAATAATCAAATCTAAAGGATATATTTTCTAAGCAGACGTACAGTGCCTTCTCATTATCTGAAATCCTTGGTCATATGTATTCTCAATCTAAGCACTAATGAGTAAAACTATATTCAATTAATAGGTTAGAGTTACATAATGTACCAACCATACAGTAGCAGACTCTGAAAATGTTATGTGAAATGTAATTATCTAGAAGAGATATGTATAAAAATAGGTAATATTCCTAAAATAGTTTGCTGAGTTACAGTTCTTCCTGCTGGGAAGTTTACCACACTGCCATGATATACATAAGAAATGTCTGTTCAGAAGCACAAAATTAGAAAATATTCTTCACATACCATCTCACTAAATGTAAGAATATATAATCAAAACTGGCTCTTAAGAGTGACACAAATGCATAGGGAAAGATACCTGTATGTGTGACAAACACAAAAACATGAAGTCTATTTATTGGTTAGTTTGGAAAGGGGGCCCGTACTTGTTATTAAAATACATATATGACAAGAAACACTCATATGGATGGACACACCTGATTCCTCCCCCTACCCTCCAGTTTTTCTGACAGTCATCACCCACCTTTTTCTAGGATTATTGCCTGACATAACATAAATTCTGCTGTGTGTTCTCAACAAAGCAGTGAAAGAGAATCTCTTTCCGCACTCCTGTCGTGACCCATGATCTGGGCTTGTGCTTTTGGAGGAGTCTTTGATCTGTAGCAGGTCTCAGAGGCTGGTCTCCCGGAGGAACATGGTGCCGATGTTGTACGAGACCTTCTTTATCCTCGATGAAGAAAGAGAAGGCTTTGGCTGTTTAGGACCAGTCCTTAATTCCAGGAAATAGCAGATTCCAGGGATTTCCTTTGGAAAGTTGTCTGGAAGCTCTTCACGGGACCGAGGGATGAATGTGAAACTTTCTTCCCGTTTTAATAATCTAAGAGGAAAATATTGACAGTGTGAATCAAATAAGCAGGGGAAATGTAAATAAATGGACAAAAATGTTCAAGACTCAGGAACCCAGTCAATGATTGTGCTCATGCTAATGCCCCTAGTTCTTTGTTTTGATGTGGCCTTCACAGAACTCCAAATACTAGGAAATGTTATTTCTCAGGAGAGATCCCCTCATGCAATAATAATAATTACAACAAGCTATTGCTAGTACTACCTGAAAATATTTGTTCAAGCTTGATTTCTTTCTAAAAAGTATTACTTGGAAATATTTGTTTAAATTTAATTTTTCCCTAAAAAAGAGGATAAGGAAACTGCATAATACAAGTTTTCAGTCAAACATAAAGGCTTTACAATTTAGGCTTTGAAAACCTACCTAGATTTCAGAGCACCCCTTCTATGTTTTGTAGACTCTTGATAAGCTTTAAATGTGTATCCTTTATGTCTGGCATGCAGACCAAGCGTTTGGCTTTGTAGAACACCATTCATGACTTCTAGTGTCCCTGATCCAGGCTACTGGTTTCTGGCAATACACATTTTTCTGAACTCACTAGTATTATTTGTCAAACAGCTGCAATCTTCCCTTCCAGTCGCACTTAAAGACCCTTTTTTAGTACACGCAGACTGGTTTTACTCTTTCTCAGTCTCATGAAAGGTTCAGATGGATACTCGTGCCTAAAAATGTGGCTCAGCAATTCAATTAGCTCTGACTTTTGGGCTGCTTCTTGTTGGCCAAGAAAAATCTTCTAGACACAAGGATAATGATAAACAGAATGGAACCAAAGAAGCTCAAAGTTATATCAACAGAAATAAAAACAGTGGATAAAATAAGCAGAAAATAATTACTGAATAAACAAAAAACAAAGCAGTAATATAAAAGCAGTATAAAACTGAATGGGCTAAATACCACAAGAAAAGTGGGTATAAATGGTGTTTAAGTCTAAAAGAGGAAAAATGTTCACAGTAGGAGGATCATGAAGGCTTCATAGGAGAGATATTACTTACACATGCGAAGACTTTCAAAAAAGTGAGTGTGGAGTACAACACGATCAGAGGTTTAGAAACAAGAACATTAGGGTCAGGACTGACACGTTTTCAATCATTTGATAACATCGCAGAATAAGGCCAGAGAGTTAAGGCCAAAGTACTAGATTAAGACAAAGCTTTGAAACCCTAAATTAAAAGTTTAGACTTACTTGGAAGGCCTCATGGAACCAAATGCATCACCTTTTCCTCTCATTCTTATAAGAGAAGTTAATGTTAACAAGTCATAAAACGTAAGAGGGGGGCTGGGGAAAAAAAACCTTCATGACAGAGAGAAAGCAATAACAAAAATTGTATGAAAATATAAAATCATCACACAAGCAATGATAATTTATACACTAAGGAAAAAAAGAAAATGAATCATTGCTTTTCAAATATTCTTAATGGATAAAAATATTCTCTGAAAATAACAGTTGGTAGTCTAAGAATTTTTATAATATGAGCAATCTATATTTACTTTTATGAGCTAGTATTGTACCATAGTATTTTTATCATTTTATTTTTTTCTTTTTAATTTTTAAGTATATTTTATTGATTATACCACTAGGGTTATCCCATTTTTTTCTCCTTTGCCCCCCTCTACCTGGTACCCACCTCCCCTCCAGTGATGCCCTGCACTCTTAGTTCATGTCCATGGGTCATGCATATAAGCTCTTTGGCTTCTCCATCATCTATACTGTTCTCAACATCCTCCCATCTATTTTTTATCTACCCAATTATGTTTCTAAATCCCTATGCCTTTCCCTCCTTCCCCCTTTCTTCTTCCCAGCTGATAACCCTCCAAATGATCTCCATATCTACAATTGTATTACTTTTCTAGTTGTTTGCTTAGTTTGTTTTTGTTTTTTAGATTTTGTTGCTGATAGTTGTAAGTTTGTTGTCATTTTAATGTTCATAGTTTTGAACTTCTTTTTCTTAAATGAAACCATGTTGATGAACTCCTTTAGCTTTACCTTGTTTGGGAAGCATTTTATCTGCCCTTCAATTCTTTTTAAAAAATATATTTTATTAATTATGCCATTGTGACTGTTCTATTTACCCCCTTCATTCACCTCCACCCTGCATACCCCCTCCCCCACCATTCCCTCCCTTTAGTTTATGACCACGTGTCTCAAGTTCTTTAGATTCTATATTTCCCATACTATTCTTGCCTTCCCCCCTATCTATTTTCTACCTACCATCTATGCTACTTATTTTCCTTCAATTCTAAATGATAGCTTGGCTGCATAAAGGAATCTTAGTTGCATGTCCTTGCTTTTCATCACTTTGTGTACTTCTGGCCTGCAAAATTTCTTTTGAGAAATCAGCAGACAGTATTATGGGAACTCCTTTGTAGGTAACTCTCTGCTTTTCACTTGCTGCATTTAAGATTCTCTCTTTATCTTTAAACTTTGGCATTTTAATTATGATGTGTCTTGGTGTGGAACTTCTTGGGTCCAACTTGTTTGGGACTCTCTGTGCTTCCTGGACTTGTATATCTATTTCCTTTGCCAAATTAGGGAAGTTCTCTTTCATTATATTATCAAATAAATTTTCAATTTCTTGCTTTTCCCCTTCTTTTTCTGGCATCCCTATGAGTCAGATGTTGCCCTTTTTAGAGATATCCCAGTCTTCTTAAACTTTTTTTTAAAATTCTTGTTTCTTCATTTTGTTCTGGTTGAATTTCTTTCTTTCTTATGTTCCAAATTGTTGATTGGAATCCTGGTTTCCTTCCCTTCACTGTTGGTTGTCCTGTGGATTTTTCTTTATTTCCCTTAGTATAGCCTTCATTTCTTCCCTTATACTTTTGCCATATTCAATGAGATAGTTGAGCATTCTGACCACCAGTGTTTTGAACTCTGCATCTAATAGGTTGGCTATCTCGGCATTGCTTAGTTCCTTTTATGGGGTTTTGTTCTGTTCCTTCATTTGGGCCATATTTCTTTGTCTCCTCCTTTTGTCAGCTTCCTTGTGTCTGCATACTAAGTAGAGTTGCTTTGATTTCCTGTTCTAGCACACCTGTTAGGGTGTATGGGGCAGAACTTTGGGAATTGCCAGGACTAGGTGACCTACTTCCCTGCTTTATGGCTTGTGGGGGAGAAGTCGAAGAGGGAACAACACTGCTGCTGTGGCGACTTCTGGGGCTTGTCTGGCACTCGCCCCTTTTCTAGTCACTTTATCCACTTCCCATATGCAACTGGTGCCTCTCTAGCCGCTGTCCTGATTGTGATTCCCAGGGTTGGGTGGGTTTGTGTGTAGTCCGGGCTCTCCTGAGAGACTAGCAGTTTCTTCTGCCACCCCAACCCCCACTGGGTTTTCATCCAGAAGTTATGAGGCTTTCTTTTTCCCAGCACTGGAACCCTGGGCTGGGTGGTCTGGCCTGGGGATGGGATGGCTGGCTCATAAGGTGTCCCCCTGATTTTTATCACCACACATGAATGTGGGACTGCCCATTCTACTGGCCACTGCTGCCCCACCACCCCAGCTCGCCGCTGCCACACACTGGATCTTCTCTGCCCCGACTCTCAGTCTCTGCCCGTCCTACCAATATGGATGAATACAGTTTCTTTAAACCCTTGACTGTCAGACATCCATATAGCTTTGGGTGTTTTTCTGGGTGATTTTCTGGCAGCTCTTGGTGTTTTTTATTTTTAAGTTAGTCGTGTTCCTTCTTACAGTTGCACAATGAAGCAAAGCATGTCTACCTATGCCTCCATCTTGACCAGAAGCCCCCACAATAGTACTTTTGCTTTGTAAATAATTTTTAAAAACAGCTCTATTTTACCATTCCTTTAAAAATATTATAGAATGATAATATTAATGTGGGATATAGAAAAGCAAGGTTCATTTAACATTTCAACATCCTTTCAAATGCCTTATCTCATTACATCCACAGAACAGAACCCCCTATGCAAGAGCTATTCTCTGACAAATATATGGGGGGGCGAAAGTGAGGCCACAGTGAATTGCAGTGATTTGCTCATGGAAGTAGTAAGACAGTTGCCACACCAGATCCGTTAATTTGTAGTCAAGCTGACCCTTACAGTAAATAATAAGACTGCAGTAAGACAGCTGTCTGCCACAAAACTGCATTGCAATATAGATGGGGAGTTAATGACAATCCGTATGGACATCATCAGCACTGAGTACTTTCTTTTTGTTTTAGTAGATGTTGATTTTCTTTACCTATACTATGTAACAGTCACTTCAGATATATGTTTGGATTCCCCATATAATACTTTAATTTACCAGTGAATTCCACAATAATTTTGTTTAGCTCAAATAGAACAGTCAACAATGTGCAACAAGTGGGTGTCAATCAGTGACACCAATCAATCCCCAGACATCTTTTGAGTGCCTGTTGCATGCTAAAGTTGTACTCTGAAAGGAGGAGAGTAAGTGGGGATGCCCAGAATGAATTAATGTATAATTATATATAATTCACATTAATATAAATATATATTAATAGTAATTAATATGTATTAATATATGCTTTATATTAATATAAAATTTAAAAGATAAGAAATGCTGAAAGGAACAAATTAGCAATATGAGACAATATATGGTATCACACATGATACAATCCAAAGGAGGAAATTCTGTAGGAAAAAGGCAGAAATGTTGGCTGTGGATCTTAGTACACAAGACAAGAACCAGAGCAATAAGGTTCACTTCCACTGACTACAAAATGGACCATAAGCTCAATCCTTCCAACAAGTTTCCTTAAAGACCCATGATCAACAAATAGGAGAGAGTTACATTCCTCTCTTCCAATTTTAAGCACTCTACTTGCTCTCTTTCACAGTTTGTTCCACCAAATTTTTGACATTTTACTATAATTGAGTTATTCTAACATTGAAAACTAAATTGGATTTACATTTATGAAAGTACTTGTAAGTGACTAAAAGAAGGATATGTAAGCTGTTTTGAATATCAAGAATTTTAAATAATTCACTACATTTT